TCGGGCAGCGCGCCGCGCTCGTGCGCCTCCAGCAGGCTCAGCGCCGTCGCGTGCTGCAGCTCGAAGTCGTCGTTCGCCGCCTCCGCGCTCTCGAAGGCCTCCTCCCAGACCGTCGACCATTGCCAGTCGACGCCGCCCCCCGGCGTGGTCACGGGCGTGAGATCCGCGTCGCTGTCGCTGAAAACCGAGTGCTTGGCGCCGAGCGGCGTCTCCGGCGTCGCGCGGGCCTTGGCGTCCGCCGCCGCCGACAGCTGGCGCTCGAGCTCGACGGCCTCGCCCGTCTCCAACTCGTCGTTCCGCGCCCGCATCGTCCGCGCGAATGCCGCGAAGTCGTCGATGTCCAGCAGGTCCTGCAACACGCGCTTCGCCATCTCCTCGCGCGGGCCGCTCGCGGGCGACTCCGCCGTCTCCCGCAAAAAAATCGCCAGCCGCGCCTCGTCCGCCTCGCTCCGACAGCCCAGCTCCTCCAGGAGCGAGTCCAAAACCTTGGCCACGAGCGACCGGAACTGCACGTAGAGCGCGTACTCGCCCTCGCCGTGCTCCTTCTCCGTGCTGCTACCGCCGAAGAGCACGGCGTTGCGGTCCACGAAATGCGACACCTCGCTCCACTGGCCCTCGCTCACGTACCTGTGCAGCGCCTCCATCCACTCGTCCTCCATGGCAGCCCGTCGTTCGTCGGGTCAGGGTCTTCGGCAAGGTCCACGGCGCTTCTCCGAGGCGCAATAGCGTCGCATTCTAATGTCGCGACGCGATCTACGAATGTGAATGTGTACTAGACGAAATGGGCATAAATCTACCTCAACATGAGGGGTTGCAGTGCAACATGAGCGACGGCGTCGTCGCTGCGCTTCTCGGGGAGTAGCCTCCGACGTATTCCCCGCTGGCAGAAGCCTTTTTTTGGTGGTTTTATGCGGCTATGTGGATGCGGTGGTGCCCCGCGCTCAGGGGCCCGCGGCCGTCGCCGCGCGGACCGGAGCCGTCCCCGGGGGCGCATCGAGGGCGGCAAGCGGGTTCTCGCGGCGGCCCTCGAGCGCGGCTAGTTCGACCTCGGCGTCGCGGTGGCGCCTGATCTCCTTCTGGAGCCGCTCGACCTCCGCGAACTCGCCAGCCGTGGCCTCGCCGCGGGTGACTCGACGGTACGCCTGCTTGTAGCGCCACGCCGTCCGCTCGAACATGCGCACGCGCAACACGGGCAGCACCTTCGGCGACAACGAGCGAAGCGTGTCCTCCTGGAGGTGCTGGTCTTCGTCGCGGCCGTTCTTGCGCTTCCACCGCGAGGCGACGCCCCAGTCGTATTCGATACCCTCGCCGGCAAGTTCGCAGTGGCCCTTGGGCGTGAACATGGCGCGGTGCCCGAGGTCCGTGACCATCTGCTCGAGCTCCGAGGTCTCGTTCTGGTAGTCCCAGCACGCCGCGAGGACGTCCTTGGCACACGTCGACCGCGCGACGCCGTCGATGTCGACGGTCTCGGGGACGCCGTAGGTGTCCTTCTTCCCCGTCCACGACATGCCCTGGTGCCAGAGGCCGCGCTCCCTGAGCAGCTGCTTCCCGCCCTTGGGCTGGCCGAGGAAGCCCGTGACGCTCGCCGCGTGGACCTCGAGCGCCGCGCGCCACTCGTCGTAGCCCGGCGGCTTCGACCCGAGATCGATCGTGATGGACGCGTTCTCCGAGTGGTACGTCGCCGCGCGCGCCCGGAGCGACCCGACCTTCTTGTCCTTGGGCGCCGTGGCCGCCCGCTTGCCCTGCTCCTTGATCGACCGCGCCTGCACGTAGGCCTTCGCGTCGTCCGCGGGGATCTGGACCCACGCGACGCCCGCCTCCGTCGTCGCCGCCCGGATCTTCGCCTCCGCCGTCGCGTTGGCATCGGAAAGCGCCGATGCGCGGTAGTACTCCGCGCCATGCTTCGGCGGTTTGGGTTTGGCCGTGGCTCGGCGTCCGTTCCCGGGCGGCGCCGCGGGGTCGTCCACGGGCGGCGCCGACGGATTATCAAAATAGCCGTGCTGCGTTTCGCCGGGCTTGAGCATGGGCTCGAAGGGTCCCAGGAAGCCCTCCGAGCGCTCGATGACCGTGTCGCGGACGATGGGCTGGTCGCCGCCCCACGAGAGGTTCATCTGCGTCGTCGAGAGCGCGTCCGGCTTCGAGTGGCCGTGCTGCGCGCTGTGGTCGAAGTAGAAGAGGGCCTGGCACGGCGTCGCGGCGCCCGAGAGCTTCCCGTAGACGAACTCGAACGCCTGGATGACGTCGTAGGTGTGCACGATGATGTGGACGCCCAGCCACCAGCCCTCCTTGTTCGCACCCGGGTTCATGTGCCACAAGCCGACGGCGCAGATGTCGACCGCGTTGTCCCAGTACCCCGCGGGCACGTTCTTCTTCAGCGGCGGCATGTCCTTGGTCGGCTGGGCCACGCCCTGCTGCTCCTGCACCTTGATCCAGGCCTGGCCGACGTCGACGCCGGACATCGTGACCGGGTACTGCTTGCCCGCGCGGTGCGCGTTGATGGCCGCGAGCGTCGCCTCGTCGAGCGGGAAGCCAAAGCCGATCTTCTGGGCGCGGGAGACGAAGCCGCTGACGTGGACCGCCAGCCCGCGCGACTTCTTGTCGATGGGCGCCGCGCCCTTGTGCGTCCAGCACTTGGACGTGTACTCGTGGCTGTGCCGGCACATCTCGTCCTGGCCGATCGCCACGAGCGGCGGCGCGTCGCTGGGCCGCCTGGCGCTCAGGGAGCCGCCCATGGGCATGGACTCGACGTAGGCCTCGAAGGCCGAGCTCGCGTTCACGTTGAACTCGACGGCGTCGACGGACGCGCCGTCGATCTCGACTTTGACGCGGTGCGGCTCCAGGTCCTGGCGCGCGTTGGGATTGGTTTTCTCGTGGGCGACGAAGAGCTTCTCCGCCTCCTCCAAGGACAGCTGGATCCACTTGTGCTGGAGCACCTCCATCTCCTTCTCGAGCGGCAAAAATCGTTTGTTCCGGTCGTCCGCCGCGCGTTCGTGGACGTCCGTCATGTACGACTTCTTGCGGTCGCGGTACTCGAGCTGGATCTTGTCCGAGTGGGCGATGGTGTAGACGCCGTGGCCCTTCTTGATGGGCCACGACAGGCCGTACCGCTTCCAGAAGAAGCCCCGCACGTCGCCGTCGACGTCGCCGTCGACGTACCAGTCCGGCTCGACGGTCGTGGCGCGCGTCGAGCGGATCGTCTTGCTCCCCGTGGGGGCGCCGCCGTCGAAGTTGTCCGTGATCTTCATCATCATGACCTCCGACATGAGCTCCGCGAGCTTCTCCAAGGACATCGTGCGCAGGTTCGCGCGGACGAGGAGGTTCAGCCGCAGCACGAGGTCGTCCTGGCTCAGGAAGCAGCTCGTCCACGAGTCGCGGAGGTAGCTGCCCCGCTCGTCGGCGAGGAAGTAGCCCTCGGAGGGCAGGTACTGGTTCCGGAAGTAGCCCATGACCGTCCTGGCGCCGACCTTGCCGTAGGCCTCGTCGGCCGCCTTCTGCGCGCACTCCATCGCCGTGAGCGACCCTGGCTCGCCGGTGTTGAAGTCGCGGAGGTAGCGCAGGAACCGCTCGACGCACTCCGCCTTGGTCCGCGTCCGGCGGAGCTCCGAGTCGGACATCTCGAGGCGCGAGTCCGGGTCCTCCGGGTCGTAGGCCAAGCTGAGCTTGTACGTCGTCTCGGCGGTCAGGTGGCCGCGGAGGCGGTCGATCATGGGCTGGTACCGCCTCGCGTTGCGCTCCGTGACCTCCTCGACGCGCGCCCGTCGGTTCTCCTCGTCTCTTCTCCGGTTGTCTTCCCGGCCGTCGTCGCCCCGGTGCCCGGACTGGTGGCGACGGCGGCGCGAGGCGCCGCCGACCGCGCCGATGAGCCGCATGGCGCCGCGCTTGAGCGCCGCGAGCGCGTCCATGGTGCGGTGGCCCAAGCTCGAGCGCTTCCTGCGCCGGGCCTCGGCCGCGGCGCCCGCGCCGCGCGGCCTGCGCAGCGTGACCTTCGGGGTCCAGTCCACGAGGTCGCCGCCGCAGCCCGTGAAGTCGTCCTCCGCGAGCTCCTCCTCCTCCTCGTCGTCGTCGCCGCCGTCGTCGCCCTCGGGCGCGGGCGCCGCGAGCGCGGGCACGTCCGGGTCGTCGTCGTCGCCGTCCTCGACGCCGCCGCCGTCGCCGTCGGGCGCGGGCGCCGCGAGCGCGGGCGCGTCCGGGACGTCGTCGTCGCCGCCGCCGCCGACCTCGACGTCCCCCTCGTCGCCGCCGGCAGATCAGATGCGGTCGCGGTAGACCGGGCCGTGCAGCGAGCTCTTGCTGAGCTCCGCCTCCTCGACGCCGGTGGGGAGCCGCAGGATGTATCGCGACTCGCCGTTCCGCCTGGGGGCGGAGAGGAGCGACACGAGGTAGGCCAGGCCGAGCATGACGACGAACGGCCACACGTTCTCGACGAGCAGCAGGTGCGGGCCGATGCAGCGCACGACGTGCGCGAAGCGTTCGAGCGTGCGGCGTTTGGGCCCTCCGAGGCCGCGCCGGGCGCCGGCCTTGCTGTAGTCCTGGCATTCGACGCCGGCGGCGATGGCGCTGACGCTCCGCGGGTTCCAGACGTGGCCCACGATGGAGTCGTCGTGGATGTCGCCGTAGTTGTGGACGTTGGGAAGGTTGTTCGCGAGGGCGCCCGCCTTGCGCGGGTCGTTCTCGCAGGTGGCGACGATGGAGACGCCGCCGTCCTGCAGCGCGCGCGACATGGACCCGAACCCGGCGAAGATCTCCATGGCCTCGACGCGCGGCTGTGGTTCGGGCCAGGGCGGCTCGGAGACGGCCGCGGCGCTGAGGCCCTCGGGCGCCGGCTGGGGCGCGACGGCCCGGACGTAGACCATCTTGAGGTTCCGCCAGGTCATGAGCTTGACCTCGTCGCCCGCGGGCGTGATCATGAACTTGGAGAGGCCCCGGGCGGACTCCGTCGTGTGGAACCGGTAGCCCTGCTCCTCGAGCTGGCCCTCGCTGAAGATGGAGACGGCGAAGGTCGGGAAGTGGTTGTCGCGTTCGACCGGGATGCGCGTGCCGTCGGGCGTGACCAAGTCGGAGCTGTAGACGCCGTGGTTGGCGTGGGCGCGGTCTCCGCCGTCGCGCAGGGCTGTGGGAGAGGCCCAGTGCGTCGACGGCTCGCGCCGCGGGCCGTGCTTCGCGGTCTTGAGCGCGTGGGCCATCGATCCGCCGTCGATGAAGCTGAGCTCGAACCCCTCGGGGCACGGCGGGAGGCTGCCGCACGCCGCGAGCGCGTGCGCCTCGTCGGCGCTGAGCTCCGCGGGGCCGCTCGCGCGGGCGGCGTTGGGCGACTTCTTCGCCATGCGGTCCCGCCGCGACTTGTAGCAGCAGTAACTGAGCGTGTAGTACGTCACGCCACCGTCGCTGGCCCTCGGGCGCGCCTTGACGACCTTCCAGCCCAACGACCGCTCCCAGCCCTTCCCCGCGATGGCCGCCTCCGCCGACTCGAAGTCGCTGGAGAGGGACTGCTTTTGAGGGAGGTCGTTGGCCAAATTGGCCGGATTGGCCACGTTGGACGTACGCCGTCGGACGGCAGCCAACCGCGATCGGACGATCGGACGAAGAGCCAACCGCGATCGGACAGGGACGAGGCCATTGGACGAACCTAGCGGCCATTGGACGCGACCCCCGGCCATTGGACGTAAAAGACATCCATTGGCCACGATCTCGCGACGTTGGGCAGCGTCTGGGCAGCCCGCTCGCGAGCGGCGACCATCCGGGGCGCGTCGATTCCGTGGAAGTGGCCAACGCCGCCCTCCCGCCCGCCCAAGACCTCGACGCCGATGAACCAGAACTTCCGATCCGCGGACTGCCGCCGTTCTGCAGACATCGATCACTGCGAATGCGGCGCGCGTCCCCACCCGATTTTTGCAGCTCCGGGTTTATACGCCGTGACAGGAGTTGGGGCAACACATCACCTCTGTGCGGTCGCCCTACGGCTGACTCGGGTTCGAATCTCCCCCACGCGCGTGACGACGACGACGGCGGCGGCGGCGGCGGCGGCGGCGGCGGCGACGACGACGACGACGACGACGACGACGACGACGACCGACCGACCGACCGACCGACCGATCGACCCCCCAAAGTAGGCTACAAGGGCTTCGCCGGGGACCCGAAGTGACTCGCCCGGCACCTCCCCGAAACCCCATTTTTTTTAAAAATTTTACCCCCCGTACCCCGGCGCTCGAGGCGGCCTCTCCTGCTGGCAGTCCTCGCATTGCAGTGTGACTGACGCAGAGCTCGCGACTCATGTCGGCCAGATCGGACGATCGGACGATCGGCCAGATCGGACGATCGGACGAAGCCCATCGGACGCACGGCCAATCGCGGTTGGACGTGGCCAATGGGATTCAGCCAACGCGGCCAATCCGGCCAATTTGGCCAACGACCTCCCTCAACGGCAGCGTCAGCGCGCGCTGGATGCCGTGTCTGCCGCGCAAACCCCCGGGAAAAAAGTGGCTTTCGTGAGGAACGGAACGAAGGCAACAGGAAGGCCATTGCCGGGTGGTGGTGGCCGACCAAGGAAGTAGGCCGGGCTGTAAGGACAGCCCGCCGGCCAAGGACACTCGCCGGACCCAGCGCGCCGGGCAGCACGCTGGGGGCCGAGTGACCAGCCGGACACGGGGACGTCGCTTAGCAGGGGAGCAGCGGCGAGGGCGCAGCCGAGCTCGGGTGAGCAAGGTTTGCATTTCTGAGGTCTGGCTGGATGAGGTTGCGGGTGCAAACTTCATTCAAGGGAGGGCGGTACTCATATTGAACCTCGTTAAGTCTCAAATTTCGATAGCGCCGGACCGAAAGTAGGGAAATTGCATTTACGGCAGTACAACATAGGGAGATAGGGAGGTTCTCTCCTTCCTTTCCTTAGTACTTTAAGAGCCTGAGCGTTTTCCCTGGCGTAAAACTTGGAAAATAGTACACCAGTTTTGCACCAGGACCGACATATCACTTACTAATCGTCGGCCGGAACGCAACATTAACTTATTGAACCTAGAAGTTTACTTTCGAAAAGTGGTTGGACGTCGTCGATGATGGTCGCACGATCTCTGATGCTGGGTTTGGCATGTTCCAGGCCAGGGGGAGAGAAACTGAGCACACTTCGCAGTGGCAACTCGGGGTCGGGCATCCCAATACTTCAGCCCGCTCGTCTCGGGAACACGCAGAAGCTGAGATCATTTTTCCCTCCCTCCCCGCGCGCGCGAGGCGGTCCCCGCGGCGAGGTTCTGGGTGCTCAAAGGTACTACTCCAAGCGAACCCCGCTCTCGTCGCCCCGATTCCGGCCGGCAGCCGCGAGGGAGTAGTACCTTCGGGCGCCCCAGACCCCGGACGCAGCCCCGCGCCGCCGGCCAACCACATCGTCTCGAGCAAAAGACGACGTTTCAGCCGAGCGATACATTTCACTGCAACTTGGTCCGTCGATTAGTAAGTGCATATCGCCCCTCGACGCGTCGAAATGGCCCCGATCCCGAGGCCCCGTTCGCCCCGAAATCGTGCTCGCCTCTGGAGATCGGGAGTGGCGCGTCGAAGATCGCCCGCCGGCGCGGCGCGGGCTCGAAGGCCGCCGCGGCCGGGGCGCCCGGCGGACCGAGCCGCCGAACGCGGCCGTCAAAGTCGGGCGCCGCCCATCGGATCGGCTTCCCAGTGCGCCAGCTGGAGCGCTGCGCTAGAGATCTTTACTCCCAACACACGGTCGACTTCGCCATGCTCAGTAAAAAAAAACTACTAGCTCCGCCGCTCGTCGAAAATTCGGACGCGAATACTGCACCCCAGATGTGCCCCTCCAAAACCAACCTACGCTGCGACGGTTAGCTGTCAGCCTAGCTGTCAGCGAGCTCGGCTCGCCTAGGTACCCCTCTAGCCCCCCTGCCTGTGGATAAGCCCCCTCAAAATCTTTACGCCTTCCAGCGTGCGGGGGATTCGAGTAGTCCGAGCAGTCCGATCGGACAAGGGAGGGAATACGATGTCCGCTGCGACATGTCCCATCTGAAGTCGCGGTTCAACAAATTCGTGCGCGACCGCTCCATCAAGGCACACGGCAGGGGCCACCGACGCTTGTCGGAGCCGGCGGCGCAGCGACGCCAGGTGCGTCAAGGGCTGCGCGCGCGCGCAGAGGGCGCGCGCGCGCGCGCGCGCGCCCCCCGAACGACGGCGCGTCGACGCCGCAGCCCCGTAGGCCCGCATGTCCTGCCCGGCGTGCGACAAGGGCCAGAACCGCAAGTGCATCTGCGGTAAGAAGCGGACGTACAAACGGCGCGCGCTCGTCGGCGTCGAGGAGCTGCTCGACGGCGACACCGCGGCGGCGGCGGCGCCGCGCGCGCCGCCGCCCCCGGACCCGGAAGTCGCGCCCCCCGGCGAGACCGCGGCGGCGGCGGGCGACGAGCCCGAGCCCGACCCGCGGATGATGGGCCTCCGCGCGCCGCCGTCGGAGGCGCAGGCGGCGCGCGCGAAGAAACTCCGCGAGCGGGCGACGGTCATCGCGGCCAAGGGCCGCAAGAACAAGCAGGGCGTCATCCCGGCGGCGGTCATGGGCATGCTCTACGACTTCGTCGAGGAGTGCGCGCGCGCGACGTCGGCCTCTTCCCGCGCACGGCGCTCCCCCGCAAGGACCTCGACACGCCGCGCCTGAACCACAAGGACGTGCGGAGCTTGGGCACGGGCCTGCCCCCCGTGTCGAGCTTCCCGCTGGCCGGCGCGAGCCTCCTCAACATCGACTTCGCGCTCGTCCCGGGCGTCGACATCAAGTGCGGCCACTGCGGCAGCCGGGCCGTGTGCGTCACGGGCAACACGGCGCGCTCCAAGGACCGGCTCGGCGTCGTCGTCCTCCACCGCCCCATGCAGCCGCCCATCTACGCCTGCTCGGCGATCCAGACCTGCGACGACTGCAAGAAGACGACGCGCCACGACGACCCCGCGGTGCTCGCCAAATTGGGGCCGTGCGACGACATGCTGCTGCCGTGCGAGCACGAGCAGTGCGTCGGCACGCGCCAGCACCGCGCGACGCGCGAGTTCGTCGACCTGGTCTCCTCCGCGACGGCCTTCAGCGACGCGGGCTGGGAGACGGTGTCGCGCGAGCACAGCGAGGCCCTCGCGGTCCGGCGGTCGCGCAACCACCTCAGCTTCGCGTCCTGCCTCGCGGACTACACGGCGACGCTCGCAACGAGTCCGCCGAGACCGACGGCTTCGCCGCCGCCGCGGTTCCCGCCGCGCCCGCGCCCGCGGCCGCGGCCGCGCCGACCGTCGCGGACGGCTCGGAGCCGTCGACGACGTCCGAGGATTGTTCGGGGTTCTTATTGGCCGGGCCCTAGGGCGGGTATAGAAGCCGCGTTGGAACGCCGCCCTTTCGTCCGTGGGGAATTCCCCCGCAATTCCCCCGCCTCCGGCGGGGAGAATCCCGCCTCCGGCGGAATTCCCCCCCTTCGGGGGGGAACCCCCCGCCTCCGGCGGGGGGAATCCCGCCTCCGGCGGAATTCCCCCCCGCCTCCGGCGGAGGGCAGCCGCCTCCGGCGGCTTTCCCCCCTTCGGGGGGAATTGCCTGTCCGAAATCGCGCAGGGAGAGTCCCTGGAGTGGTACACTGTGTAGCGAAACTTGTACATGTAGCGAATAGAAATTTGTGCTAGCTCGGCCCGCCCGGGGCGCTCGAGGCCCAGCGGGCTGCGAAAGAGGGCCCATGCCGGGACGTTCAGCACTGCTCGCAGCGGCCTTCGCGCGGTGTAATTCGTATATGAAGCAATCTACCGGCTTGCATATGCTTCTCTCGATTGTGGTCCTTCTAGCTGCGCTGGGACAGGGACAAGCACCAGCATGCGCGTCGGTGCTGTCACATCGTCGTGTACCGAAGACCTGGCAGGAGGTGGAACACGTGTTGATATCGAGGCTCGGGCGGCGCGAGAGCGTCGCCTGTCCTTTAAGCGAGTTCGAAATATTCCGTTCATACACTTTTCCAAGCGTTCTTGCGCAGACGCATGCGAGCTTCGAGTGGATTGTATACGTGTATAGGACCGTGCCGTCATCCGTGAAACTCGCCCTAGTAGCGTTGCTGGCCGAATACGAGCGCTTCCACGTCGTCGAGGCCGACCAGCATGCGTGCTTTTCGCGGCAGCTCCAGCCTCCCGAATTTTGGCCTGTCGTCGATCAACTCGAGCTTTTCAATCTCCAACCCGCGTGGGACAGCGTATCACTGGTGGTGACGACACGACTTGCGGCGACCGACGCTCTTCCGCGAGACGCGATGGCCAGACGCGCGCTTCGGCGTACGTAAATTTTCCCTTGCGAGGTCCCTGAGCCAGACATCGTAGTGTTTCAAGCTGCGAGCACGACTCCAGAAGATTTGCCCGGTGATTGGCGCGGTATTCGCGTCGTCTGCTGGCAGCGCTTCTTCGAGTGGGAAGGATCAGAGAAACGCGTCGTCGACAAAAAACTCGCGTCACAAGCATGTTTTCCATCCGGCCTCAGCCAGATCACCGTTGGCGCCTCTCTCTCTCGGAGTACGCGCTCTGTCTATCGGATCTTCCCACCGCTCTGTCGCAAGCGGGCATGGACAACGATCCTCGACGACGGACACCTGCCGCCACTCTCCCTGGCGACCGCAAACGGGTTGCCCGAACGTGGCCGTCGCCAGGAGATTAGCGATTCTGACCATCGACTCTTCCGATTAGATTTCAATGAATCCACGCTTGACGCGTTAAAAGAAAATCCGACGCCTCGACCTTGCGATCTGCGGGGCGACTGCCTTGCCGCTATTGTCTATTTGGCGCCTAGGTGACCCCCCACCGAAAGTTACACCATTGAATCGCTTAGGTCGTTCTAAGCAACGCCGACGTGCGAACGGATCGAATCGACGCGATCAATCGCACCTTCCTCGCACATTTTAAGCACAAGGCAATCTATGCAGATGGTGACTTTCCTGAATTGGGTGTCGAATCCTGCGGATTCCCAGGCGCTGTGGACCAGGTATCAGCCATGCGGAGACGTCACGAATGTGTCTACGGCCGCGCTCTCGCGAAATTCGACCTGCTCGGCATCAGGTACTACATCTTCACCGCGCACGACGTCTGGTGGAACGTTCTGGCGTTGCCGCGATTCCTGGATGCGATAGCTAGGACGCTCCCCTTCGATACAAACGTTTCAGTTCCAATCGTGACTGGCGGTGGCGGCGCTCTCGGTCCGCGAGCGAGCGTCTATTCGTCCTTTGCGATCCTGAACGCCGAGGCCCTACGACCTCTTGCCGACACTTCAATTTTAGAGACGTGCAAAAAGGACCTAAAGAGTCGTAACCCATGGGCCAGATGGGTGGCATCGGATGGACTCTACCGCACAGACCACCTCCTTTCCTATTGCGCCGACCACCCGAAGCGACCCCGCGGGAACGTAGTCGCCCGGGAGACTTTTTGGTGCGCGTCGCCGTCTGCCGTCAAGGGCGGTAACTTCCGATTTCACGCCAACATCCGACATCAAGAGTACGGTGCTCTCCTTGACCAGTGGAACCCGGGCACGGTCAGCCTCGACAACATGCCGCGCGTAAACGCGCGTAATTTTGATGTCGCGGCCACCGACGAGTTCCATTATTGCGCCCGTCACCTCAGGATGACGTGCGGTGCCCGAGCAGCGGCACTGTCTCTCGTAGTCGCCCTAGCCCACCTCAACGCGAGTGCCATAGATTCTATCAACCAGGACGCCACCGTCGTCAGGGAGTGCGCCGCTCGGCAGCCTCGCGTCCGAGCTTGCATCTCGGGCGCGCTTCCAGGCATACCTCTCCATCCAAATTGTAGAGGCGATGTCAGCCAAAACCCCGCAGCACTTCGCAGGAAAGAAAAAGGCTGGCGAAGTCAGCGATATGTTCCCCTCGACGTGTGGTTTCAGCACTAGGTCAAGGAGGACGTCGTGGGAAAGGAGGGGGTCAAAAGAGCAAACTCGAAATCTGGTGTTACCAGTACTTCTCACATCTTCGACAGATGATGCTGAAATAGAACTGATGCCCCGAGTTTATACAAAAAACGCGCCACCGAGTGATTGCCTCAAGGGGGGGGTGGGGGGTAACGAGCTCATCGTCCTATGATTCGCCCAGATCCCTGGTTTATCCATTTGATACCCCTGGGTCACTCCTGTGAGGTTGTGCACCACACCACCCGCGGTGGAACTCGCACATTTTGGGGGCTTGCCGTCCACTGGCACTAGCCGGCCTGCCAGCCCCTCCCAGTGTGGAGGAATTGCTATGGTTTAGTGGCTCGCTGCTCTCCAGTGTGAAAACAACCATAGGGCTGGCGCGCGCCATAGGAATTATTAATTATTAATCTGCGGTCGCCCGGCGGCAGTGTAGCGGAAATTGTCCCTTCAAGGTTTCTATCGGCGGACCATGGGTGTGGTACGTGGGTGAAATCGTACTAGTGAAGGCTTCATTCCCTTTACAGCAGGTCCTCATAGAGGCCCTCCGTCCACCGCGCGCGGGGGTCACAACGGACGTCCAACGGACGTCCAACGGACGTCCAATGGACGTGGGAAAATTCGTTTCAATTTTTTGTTTTTCACACTGCTGCCCTCCTAGCTATTTCTTATGGATATGGTATCCTGGTATCTTCTTACTTTCCTTTTTCCCTTGTTATTTTCCTGGTACGTCGGTATAGCTCCCCTATAGACTTATGGCCAGGTTCATCAACAGTGGCACCATCTCCTCCTCCTCCTACCCAGGAAGTCCCCCTTACAGCTCCTGGCCTCAATGCCAGTCCTCAAAAGTTCAGGAAACCCAAAGTAGGTGACCTAATACGTATTAGAAGCAAAGATGGTGAATGGATGGGAACACCCCCGTAGGATATCCCCAACTGCTAGCACCCTCCTCAGCAGAGAGGGGTAGACCTCTGCTCTCGCCGAGCTTTCGCTGTGGTGGTGGTTCCAGGTTCTCGAGCACTTGCTGGCCCGCCTTCCGCATTCATACGCGATGAGCTTATTCGGATTCTACACGATGCAGTTCCTCAACCTATCTCTTTGCTCATTCCCGAAAGCGGGTTCGACGATGAATCAACATATCGTGCAACGCGCCGTGCACCTAAATGACGAAAAAGACGGAAAGGTCACTGACTGTCATGCGTCTTGGGACTTCGTCTTTAGGGACAATGGAAACGCTCTCAAATCGAGAGGAGTCTCCTTCGAGTATTCTCCAAATACAACAAACATTGCCATCATACGAGATCCATGGGATAGAGCCGTCAGTGAATATGCGGATCAAATTAAACGTGGACACATCTTAGCCAATTCATCTTTTTATGACTTTCTGACACGTTACGTGCCACGGCACGAAGCTTACCAAAAGCACGTTGCTCACGCTGCCGATATGTGCATCGGTAGCCCCAACGCTCGCTTTGATCACATCATTGAGATTTCTGACATCTCCTCATTTTATCGAGTTTCACGCATCGTGCCGAGCTTTGGAAAGTTGATCAATGCTGGCTGGGAGCGGTGTACTGGAGGATCCCCAAGTTTGTACATGCCAGGTTCGGTTGCATCACATCGCAACAAAGATGTGCACATGAAAACAAGGCTGTGTAACCCCAGAAATCTGCAGCAGGTTTGTCAGCAGTACGCACGGGACTATGCGCTCTATGAAGAACTCGGCCACCCTTTTGCGTGCGAATGCCCACGAGTCGTAACCGCAAACTAGTGGGCATTGAACCCCAAAAGTTCGAGTTGGCTGTTCTCACGACTTTCGTACCACGAGCGCTCCGAGTGGTGTGGTTAACTTAATCGGATTCTTCAAATGGAGGTTGAAGCATGCCTGAAAGATAATCCACGCCGCCCCAAACCCGGCAGATATTCCATTATCATGCGTTTGTTGTGCTGTCGCACCTTTTGACACAACTCCTCGTTCCGTCTCTCCAACGCACGCAATCGTCGAAGAGGCAGTGCGGATCTCCTCTTCAGGAGCATCTTCTCCTCCGGCTGGCCAGCCGCTGCCCGCCTCGCAGTCGTGGAAACCGCGGGAAACCGTCAGTCGAAGTCGGATGACCCACATCCCCCAACGTCATCACCCAGGATACAGATCCTACCTAGGCACCCGCGTATCCTACCTAGCTGCAAAGAATATAGACTGACCTTGTTGCCTCTCTCTCTCCCCGTCTCTATATCTCAATGACTATACTACAGTACAGTACGCTACTCTACTACTACCCTACTACTACCCTACTAGAGAGATAGAGAGTTTTGTATCTCCCTAGTGGCTCGCTGGTACAGAGCCACTCAATATCCTTCCCCCTTCTTAATACTTTCTAACCCTGTTATAGTTGCCTCCCGCACTGTAATAGACGGAGAGTCTTCCTGGACCTAGTGAGGCAGATCCTCTGCCCGTTCGTCCAGTAGCCCCGGCCCCCGTATACTACGGCAGCTGAGGTGGCGTGAGGATAACACAGACGCCGGTGTACCGCCACTGCGTAACCTCGATAGTTCACCCTCACACGGCAGGGCAGCTCCACCCGAGGGGGTTGACCGCCGGTATGCCTGGTAGTATGCGCCCGCTATGCGGGCTTTATGCGGGCTTTATGCGGGTGTTATGCGGGTGGTATGCGGGTGGTATGCGGGTGGTATGCGGGTGGTATGCTGGTGGTATGCGGGTGGTATGCGGGTGGTATGCGTCTGCTATGCCGGTGGTATGCGTCTGCTATGCCGGTGGTATGCGGCTGCTATGCTGGTGGTATGCGCCTGCTATGCTGGTGGTATGCTGGTGGGCTGCTATGCTGGTCTTATGCGCCTGCTATGCTGGTGGTATGCGGCTGCTATGCTGGTCTTATGCGCCTGCTATGCTGGTGGTATGCGCCTGCTATGCGCCTGCTATGCGCCTGCTATGCGCCTGCTATGCGCCCGCTATGCGCCCGCTATGCGCCCGCTATGCGTCTGCTATGCGGCTGCTATGCGGCTGCTATGCTGGTGTATGCCGTGGCTGGTGTATGCCTGGTGGTCGGCCCCCTCTGAGCTCCACTAGGCTGCCCCCCTAGGCTAGTGGGAGATACAAGAGGCCAAGTGGACGGAAACGAGCTCGAGCGACGCGACCGTGGTTACGTTGCCGGTTATGGTGGTGTATGCTAGAGTAGAGAAGTAAGCTTCCCCTTAGACCTCCGGTATGAATATGAACCATATATTACGCGCGTTGTGCCCAAACGTGTTGTTGAACTCTTCCACATATATAATACACGAGAGTGTAGTCGTACCATCAGGATGTCGTGTGCTCGGGCAGATGGGGACGGTTCTGCAAGCAGCACCTGAATTTTACGACCCGATCATCATTTCAGAAAACTTCATGTCTGTGAATGGAACGAATGCTTGGTTGTCGGATTTCGGAGTCCCGCATGGTATGGCAATCGAAAACATAAAAATTAAGGGATCCTGTGATCCCCGTGAGAATCACAAATTCGGAACTAATGAAAGTAGTCGAAATCATGGTATCGCATTCTATGCAAAGGGGTTCCGCATGACGCAAATAACTGTGATGAATGTGTGTGGACACGGTGTATACTCTGCAGGCTCCAACATGGGTGGCATAGACGTTGATAAGGAGACAAAGGATATAATTGCACCAGAAGCATTTATACGTGATATACGAGTACTAGGCACATCTCTGGATGGATTTGTTTTCAGAGGTCCGCACGACTCATTGTTAGATAACATCATATGCGCTCATAACCGTCGGGGTTTTGTTGTAGATACTGATGGTTCTACTTTTAATGGCGCGGCTGACATTGGATTCGTTCATGCATACGGCACACGGCAGGAGGCCATCTTGATAAAAGCAAAAGTCAAAGCACGTTTCTTACAGGGTGATACAGGAACTGGTACTGGCGTTCGCGTATTCGATAGTGGTAAAAGCATTATAGGTACAATCGAATCTTTCAAGACGAGACCATCCTCCTTTCATTCCTCCCCCAATTACGCAGTCGAGATTTGCGGCTGCTGCGGCATTCAAATTGGATCTATACGAGTAAGGGCAGATATTCAGACCAACGGCGTGTTGATTACAAGCAAGTACACACAAATTGGTTCACTGCATGTGGATGGCTCGCCGCGTCACGACGGTATGAGACGGCCTGCGAGTCGACCTTTGACTGGTATTGTTGTGAACGCGCAGAATGTTATCGTGGCAAGTATGGTCATCGTCAACATGGCCCGTGCATCATACACGCTGTACCCGATACAAACATCTGTTTCGACATTTTCCAACACGTTATGCCAACCCAAAGACTGGTTGAATGGAAACGTGATGTGTGGTACAAACAGCCATGAATTTCAGGGGGGTACCCGAGCCACCCAAGTTGTCTTCCTGGGTGATTCGACCATGATGATGTTGTACCGAAGTGTTCTACAAACATTGAACATATGCTCAATGAACCTTACAGAACACGTCACCAGAGAGGGCATTGTGCGCGGATGCCAGACACCTCAAGTGGCGCATGCTGGGCGCTGTGATTCTTGGAAATATTTGGGGATACATCAGCAGAGCTTCACGCACATCGCGGACGATGCAGGTCCTGCAGATTATGGTGCCACGCACGCCGGGTGCACTGACTGCAGTAGTTGTTATCCGATGGCGTTTCTAACTAAAAGCGGACACCGCATCGAATATATACCACTTGAATTCTCAAAAGATGAGCGAGTTCAGACGGCTAATTTGCGTGAAACGGTAGACCACGTCGCGTTGCGTTCTACCAAAGATACGCTGTACGTACTATCACTCGGCCTTCACGAGTTTGCGATAGGAGACACCAACGCAACTCATGGGAAAAATCGAATAACTCCTCAAATGTTCAAGCTTCATTTGAAACATGTTATCGATGTCCTCGGAGAAAATCTGATTTATGTTGGGGCGCAGGCGGTCCGTAGTGAGGCGATGCGACAAAAAAATGCACGTATTGCTGATTTAAATTTGGTAGCATCTTCACTGGTGTCTCGATTCGTGCCCGACGGCTATGATGTCAGTCACTCTCCAGCCGCACAATCTCTTTATGCAGATAACATTCATCTAAAAGGACAAGACTATCTGTTTTATCGGCGTTTGGCATACTTGCTGCTACACCGTTACGCCTCTGAATTCGACATTTTTGCTGACGATGTCTAGTTTCTGTTTGCCGTCATTTCTATTGCGGGATCATGGCTGAACCCGAGCCCATCCCTAACCCATTTGACGTAGAGCACTTTGTGGACTGCTGTGAAAACGTAGACTCTTACACGCTCCCCATCAATAATGGAGCGTCTGACGTTTTGACGGACGAATTGCGAGTTAGGAATGTCGTTAAACCCGGCGAGTCACATTGCTAAATGCGAATTGCTTCTTTAGTCCTTCTCTAAAAAATTGTAGAAATTACAAAACCCGTTAGGATTTGACAACCGCCTATACCAATTCCAGGGGAAACTATCACATATCGAGACGGATATTCTAGCAGATCAATAGGTCATTTAAGGTATGCCTTCCTCCTCTGGGTGATGCGCATGCCGAGGTAGTCGGAGCCGCCCTTGGTGACCGGGAAGCGCGCTGCGATGGCGCTGCTGACCTCGGCCTGGAGCTCGCTGTCACCGACGACGAGGAGGTCGTCGACGTATGTTAACACGACGCACGTCTTCGTGACGCCGTCGATTTCGCGGGACATGCGGAACAGGCAGCGGTCGACCGGCATGACGCTGAAGCCGATTTCGTCAGTCAGGAACTGACTGAGCATTTGAAACCAGATGACGCCGGACTCCTCGCGCCCGTAGACGTTTTTTGTCGACGCGGAGGTAGA